AAAAAGAAAAAAAAGACGGTGCCTAACGTGCCTCTATAAATTTGCTTATGTTGAGTGGGAAAATCTAAGTTGCCATTTGATATTACTATTAAGTTAAATGCTAAAGGAGATTATTGTAGTATGGTTAGTAAATTGCACTATTTTTTTTAAATATAAGGGATCTTACTCCCTCCATTAATAATTAAGTAAATTACAATTTACATAGCTCAAATTGCATTTTGCTTTTCTAAAACTAAAAATAATCACTTTAACTTAAGGCAACGCATCCCATTCATCACAAGAACTAAGAATTAATATACATTTTACTTGAAACTACATTTCTCTCTTGTCGACCCATCTCTCTCTTTTTTCTTTTTTTTGTGTGGAAATATCCGTTTTCTTGTTAAGTTGTAAAAGCCAAAAAACAGACAAATAACTTGTAGAGGATCTGGCATCTTAGAACATAGCTATGAATTATGTCTTTCAAACTTGTTAGGAGATACCATAATCATGGAAATCAAAATAAGAAAGAATAGCTAAATTAAAACCTGAGATTAGAACTTACAAGTCACAACCTCTACATTATGGGGTCTTAGTCTTTACTACAAGGCTAAGAAGATGTAAGATCTCATTGACACCCACTATATAAATGGTCAAAGTCAAGTTATTATTATATAAATGAGAAAATTGAAAAAAAAAATGTAACTTCTTATTTTCTTTCAAATAACCTATCGAAACTTCTATCCATACCTTATACGATATTATACATATATATTTTTGGATAAATACCCAAATGAAATTAAAAGACATAAATTGTTTTTTTTTTTTTTGTTGGTGTTGGGTTTGTTTAGGCCGAAGAGGGAAAATGTTGTTGGGACTTGAGTTGGTAAAATTTTTACATTGACCCAATTTGACACTTAGACGGGCCGACTTCAGCTGCTTAACTCCGGCCCAATCCTGGTCCATTGTGGTATTTCCGACTGTCGAAGTTGAAACGGAGAAGACCGACCGTCTCTCCGATAAACTCACCCGTCGGGAACTCGATGCCGGAATTGAACTCGCCGTCAGTCACACAGCAAAGAGGAGCCGGAGGTTCAAACCTTGAAAGCTGTTGTGATTTCCAGGAAAAGACAGATGTCATCACCTGTTAAATACATACCATTTGGATTATGAAGAGTTTGCATTGCAGAAATGGACCATGAATCCATGATCGTGATGTTGCAGATGATATGGCATGGCATCTAGAAAAGGAAGAGCTTCTTCATCAGCTGTGGACTTCATTGAATTTGAAGCAATCTTCATATGTGGACGGAGTTCACAAACCACACACAAATATGTTGTTGCTTTCAAATAAAGCAGTGTAGTTTGGTGGAATGAAATGATATATAGCTGAGTTCAATTCAACCCGAGTTGGTGGCTCAGTGAGTTTAATCTTTTCTTCTTCCTTATTCGCCAACACATTTTTCTTTCAAGAAATTAGTTTGTAGTGTGATTTTATTAAACAAAATCTTGAGTTTGAAACTTATAAATAAAAAAACAGTCATTAAAAGAGCTTATCCTCATGAGGTTGATATAACTCGATTCAATATAACTCGATTCTAAGTGAATGGAAGTCCAATGTAACTACTAAATAATGGGAGATTAGTAAAAAAACTTAATTTATAGTTAAAACTATATCAAATTATAAAATTATTGCCTTTGATAGGAAAGATCCTCTTTCTTGTCTAATTATTTTAATTTTATAATATAATACAGTTTAAATTATATAGTAGAAACGTTTTTCGTTTTTAGAATTTTAGATTACGACTGACTAAACAATTTAGCTAAGTTGATGTGATTGCATACCAACCATCCAACAATCCACATTGAGTTGCTTAAATGAAAATCATAATCTATGGCAATTGATATGACCGTAATTCCAATTTCTTTATAACAAATCCAACATTCTCATTGGGCAACTCAGAAACATAATCAAAGTACTTGCTTTCGGTAGCTTTGTGTGCACAAAAATTATGATTGTGTAGGGAAGGAATATTAAAAAAGTTTGAAATGTTTAACGATGTTTAGTTAATTTGTTAATGATTGTGAAATAGATTGTGTTTCATCTCCACTTGCAAGCGTGAAGAAAAAGAGAACAAAAATGATGATGGTTTTGTTTAGTATTGTATAGGATTGGCTAGGTTGACTTCTAAGTTAAGGGAATTTGATTAAGGAAGCAATGAAAAGAAGGGCCAAGACCCTTTTACCCCCTATGCCAGTGCTGTGTCTAGTATTTTTTTTTGGAGACAAGAGCAGCTCATTCAGCATGCGTCTTAGTGGGAAAAATGAGTGAGTGTGGAGTGTGAAAAATTGGTGTCAAAATAAGACCTTGAAACTCAAAACAGAGGAAGAGTCAAGTTGCAGCCATGAGATTGAGAGCTCTGCTCTTCTTACTGGCTTTCTTTTATGCAAAATTTTGTATCATTTCTGCGGTTACAGATCCTCACGATGGTATTCTTTAACTATACTATTCTGTTCTTTTTTCTTTTCTGTTTTTTTGTTTTTCCCTACCATTTTTTTGAGCATTTTGCATATGTTTGCTAAGTGCTCTTACGGTAGCTGAGATGTGAGTAAGCATTTCATTGATCTCTAAGATTATTGTGGCTGTGCAGCTGCCGCTCTACAATCCTTGAAGGATTCATGGAAAAATATACCACCAAGCTGGGATAAATCGGATGATCCCTGTGGGGCACCTTGGGAAGGAGTCACTTGCAACAACTCAAGGGTGACTGCATTGTAAGTGTTCATAAAACTGGGCCTTCTGATGATTTCTTTTTGCTTATGTGTTCTGTTGACCATTGGATCAACCTCTTTCTACATATATTTGTGTTCTTAGGGGACTGTCAACCATGGGGCTTAAAGGAAAACTAAGTGGTGACATTGGGGAACTGACTGAATTGAGATCTTTGTGAGTTCCCTTCTCACCCTTTCCAATTTCTGGAATAAGTTTTGCAACATACTACAGTAGTAAATGTTGCATTAGTAGAGACAACAGTAGAGGGATTTGGCTTCCAATATATATTTTTTTTCTAGCATCATTGATCTGCAAACAATTCCAGGTCTTATTTGGCATGTCCTTGATTGTGAATTAAATGTAAACCTTTTATTGCAGGGACTTGTCCTTTAATCGAGACCTCACTGGTTCTCTATCTCCACGGTTGGGAGATTTACAAAAGCTGAATATCTTGTAAGATCCATGCTTCCACAACTCAACTTTAAGGGGTGTGCATTGGCTTGGTTCCTTAATCGACTAAGCCACACTGTCAGTTAGCTGGGATTTGGCTAAGAAATTTTTCTACAAATAAAGTGGATTAATAACTTGTTGGTTAATCAGTTAATTCACCTTTATTTTGATAATCAACTGAACATATCAATAATACTAAACCAGTTGGTTAACAGTTTTTATATTTTCTTGTTTTTATATTGAAATCAGTTTGTCAGTTAAGCTGGTTATTCAACTTTATTTCAGTTGAAGATTTTTTATTTTTAATTTTGGTATTTGACATTTCAGGATCTTAGCTGGATGTGGCTTTACTGGAAGTATTCCAGAAGAACTAGGCAATCTTACAGAGCTCTCCTTCTTGTAGGAATTGCTACAGCACAAATATATTACAGTTATCAGTGTGAAATTTATTATGTTTTCTTTTATACCTCTTAATTTCAAAACTACTTTTCTTCTCAGGGCCCTAAATTCAAACAATTTCACTGGTAGAATTCCTCCTTCTCTGGGAAAACTCTCTAAACTCTACTGGCTGGACTTGGCAGACAATCAGCTAACAGGATCTATCCCAGTTTCAACACTTAATTCTCCAGGATTAGACCTCCTTTTAAAGGCTAAGCATTTGTAAGTTCTTTCCTTCCTTTTGGTTTCGCAATCTGTCTTCAAGTTGGAAACTGTAATAGGATGGATGAGCCTGGGTAATTTGTTTGATCTCAAATGTTCAAGATTTGACCAAAAAAGACTTCATTGTTGTGAACCTGCAGCCACTTCAATAAGAATAAACTTTCAGGTACCATTCCCCCTGAACTTTTCAGCTCTGAGATGGTACTGATACATGTGTAAGTTCATAGCCACTGGTCAATTTAGTTTATATGTCATTCCTTCTTTCAGTGGTTCACAATTATTCAATGACAGATTATTTGATGGAAATCAATTAACTGGGATCATCCCATCCACATTAGGACTGGTTCAGACTCTTGAGGTCCTGTGAGTAAAAATCACCAAAATTTTCTCCTCTTTTTTTAAATTTATCTACCTCCTTTGATTCATATTCCTGGTTGAACTGATGAGTGACTTTTCCAAATACTGCAACAGCCGGCTTGATAGAAATGCCCTGATAGGGACGGTTCCATTAAACATCAATAACCTTACAAATGTCAATGAATTGTAAGTATTTACTTTTTAACATGACTCGAGATTTCTTTCCTCTGCGTGATGGTTTGTGGTTAATCATCTTAACACTCATCTACTGTCTTCTCCTTCAGGAATTTAGCACACAACAATCTGACTGGCCCTTTACCAGACTTAACTTCAATGAGTACCCTCAATTATGTGTAAGTGGATAGAATTCCCATCTCACTCTATGTCCGTTAGCCTCAAAGATGGATCCTGATTAATTACATACGTTTACAGTGATCTTAGCAGCAATTCATTTGACTCCTCAGAAGCTCCAGTTTGGTTTTCAACATTATCATCACTCACCACTCTGTGAGTACTTTAATTTATGTGCATTTGTTTGTCAAGAAAAGAATCTCAGGACTTAATTTAACTGTTTGGGAGATCTCATGCTTTCATAATCTGCATTGTTCCAGGGTTTTGGAATATGGATCACTTCAGGGGACTTTACCGCAAAAGCTCTTCAGCTTCCCACAAATACAACAAGTGTAAGTATCAGTTTGAATGCAAAGGGCATTTTAAGTTTCTCATTGTTTGGGAAACAAGAAGATCCATTATTGATTCGTGTCACTGTGGTTATTGTTAGGAAACTGAGGAACAATGCCTTGAATGGCACACTGGACTTTGGTGACAACATTGGTCCGCAACTAGAACTTGTTGATTTACAGAACAACCAAATTTCCTTAATAACACTGGGATCTGGATATACAAATACTTTGATGTAAGATAGAGATCTTGATGCCTTGATCTTTGATCCTTTTATTGATATTCTGCTTTTTTCCATCACAGCCATACTTATTATCAAGATTATGTGCTTCAGACTTATAGGTAATCCAGTATGCACTACTGCTCTCTCAAATACTAATTACTGCCAGCTTCAGCAACAAGTTAGAAAGCCTTATTCCACGAGCCTGGCTAATTGTGGAAGTAAATCATGTCCCACTGATCAGAAGCTCAGCCCGCAGAGTTGTGAGTGTGCCTATCCTTTTGAAGGGACATTTTATTTTAGAGGACCCAGGTTCAGGGAGTTGTCAAATGTGAATATGTTTCATTCACTGGAGATGAGCCTCTGGGTGAAATTGGGATTAACTCCTGGTTCAGTTATGCTTCAGAACCCCTTCTTCAATAATGATGACTATCTTCAGCTTCAGCTAGCACTCTTTCCTCCTGATGGAAAATATTTTAACAGGACAGAGATTCAAAGAATTGGTTTTGATTTAAGTAATCAAACCTACAAGCCTCCTCCAGAGTTTGGACCCTACTATTTTATTGCTTCTCCTTATCCTTTCCCAGGTATCTCAAACCACATCTTTATTATGAATGGAACTTAGGTATTATTCTATTGTTATTATATAAAATTGAATTGACCAGAAATGAATGATATTTTTCAGTTCCACATGGAACTCGTATTAGCACCACTGTTGTCCTTGGGCTGGCAATTAGTGGTGCCCTTTTACTTCTAGGCCTTGTTGGAGTAGGCATATATGCTGTTAGGCAAAAGAAACGTGCAGAAAGAGCCATTGGATTGAGTAAGCCATTTGGTAAGTGATTGTTGAAATCTCTCCTCATTACCAATTCAGTAGTTCAGAATGGGTTCAGCAATGCACTATTAAGAAATTATCTGCTTCAATCACCAATCTTCTCTATCTTACAGCATCGTGGGCACCTAGTGGTAAAGACAGTGGTGGTGCACCTCAGTTGAAGGGAGCAAGGTGGTTCTCTTATGATGAACTTAAAAAGTGCACTAACAACTTCTCTGAAAGTAATGAGCTAGGATACGGAGGATATGGCAAGGTAAATATCCAAGTTTTCTATTGACAATGATGAGGACTCATTCAAGTTGCTGATAAAATATCCTCCGTATCTTCTGTAGGTATACAGAGGAATTCTCTCTGATGGACAAGCAGTGGCAATCAAAAGAGCTCAGCAAGGATCAATGCAAGGTGGGCTTGAGTTCAAGACTGAAATTGAATTGCTTTCAAGAGTTCACCACAAGAATCTTGTTGGCCTTGTGGGTTTCTGTTTTGAACAAGGAGAACAGATGCTGGTCTATGAATTCATGGCCCATGGAACACTGAGGGACAACTTATTAGGTAACTTTTCCTATAACTCAGCCTACCAAGTGCCAGGTGTAACTAGTGTTGAATTTTAGAACAACTGTTAGCATGTGTTACAGGGAGATCTAGTATTTACCTTGATTGGAAGAGGAGACTCCGAATAGCTCTTGGTGCTGCTAGAGGCCTCACATACCTACATGAGCTTGCAAATCCTCCTATCATCCACAGAGATGTTAAGTCCTCCAACATTTTATTGGATGAAAACTTTACAGCAAAGGTTGCAGACTTTGGCTTGTCTAAACTAGTGTCAGACAGTTCAAAAGGCCATGTCTCCACCCAAGTTAAAGGCACACTTGTGAGTACCTGCACACGTTCCACCAAATCTGCTTCTGAAACATGACTCACTTCTTGTATTCTATGTTTTTCGTCTATTATTGCAGGGCTATCTGGATCCTGAATATTACATGACTCAACAATTAACTGAGAAGAGTGATGTGTATAGTTTTGGAGTAGTAATGCTAGAACTCATAATGGCAAAGCAACCTATTGAGAAAGGCAAGTACGTCGTCCGAGAAGTAAGAACAGCAATGGACAGGAATGATGAGGAGTACTTTGGCTTGAGGGAGATGATGGATCCAACAATCAGAAATGCAGGAACCCTTGTAGGGTTTGGGAAATTCCTGGAGTTGGCAATGCAATGTGTTGAAGATTCAGCTGGAGACCGCCCCACAATGAGTGAGGTGGTGAAGGCCATTGAAACCATCCTGCAGAATGATGGAATAAACACAAACTCCACCTCTGCTTCTTCCTCTACCACAGACTTTGGTGTTGCAAAGGGTTCTCTCAGACATCCTTATGCTGATTCTTTACCTAAAAAGGATGTCAATGACAACAGCGCCTTTGATTACAGTGGTGGATACACCATTTCTGCTAGAGTTGAACCTAAGTAGAGAATCCCCCTCTTCTCCATCCCACCCTTTCCATTTTTTTTTTGACTCTCAAAATTTTCCTTATAGATAGCCAATCCTTGTTACCATCAGAAATGTTGTGTTTGCTTCTAATTTCTTACTCTTTAGTCTATCAAAAATGAGACTTTCAAGTTACCATTACATTACATAGTTTATACATCAATTTTTGTGCTTTCTAGAATCATATATAGAGTCTCAACATCTTCTTTAAATATCAGACTAATACCTCATCTGCACATTATATTCAAGAAAACCCAAATTTATTTCATTTATACCAAATGCAGTTACATAGATGGAAATCTAACATCAATTTTGTGCTTGACTTTATCAATAAAAAATAAAGTGAGAAAATTTTAGCTTATCTTAGCTTTTTTTTTATTCTCTTCTATTACTGTCTCTCCCTGATATCTAAGCTCAAGTGGGAAAATTTTATATCTGATCAGTTTAATTACAACATGATATATGATTAAAGATCAACATTCCAAACGGCACCATCTCCTTCTCCACAAGAGTTGTGTACTTCCTTCATCCTCTCCACTGATTTGCATATCCCACTGCATGACCAATCGAATGACGCCACGCATACATTCCCTGCCTTTGCCTTCCACTCACAGTCTGATTTCACCATACAAACAAATCATCTTCGCAAAATATAAAAATTTAACCTTAATTTTTTGAGAAGAAAATTATATACTCCAATTTATGTCGTATTGAACTGTAAAATATAAATAATTAAATATAGAGAGTAGTTCAATAATAATTTTTTTTCATTGAAAGTAAAAAGTTAAAATCGCATATTATAAAAGTGAAATGAGATAAAAAATAGAAATAATTATCTCTCGTTGTGCAACCAATATAAAAAAAAAAAAGTGAAGAGTGTTTTTTATCTAATAATTTTAGTTGTATACTTTTGTAGAATTTAAATTGCGCAATAATTTTCTGTTTTTCTAATACCTGGAGGGGTGCCACAACACATGGAACGGTCATCCACATGTTCAACTTCCAGGCCAAGGAACCATGCGCCCAAAGAGACGTCCTCATTTGCATACCTATGCAATATGGGCCTGTCCCCCATTCACACAGAGCCGCCCAACAAAGAAAACAAAATTCAGGAATTCGGTTTAACTTTTTTGAAAAAGAAAAAAATAAAAATAAATGGAGAGGATGCGTATAGGCAGGGTGTTGATTCACTTACGCGTTGACAGAAATATAGGCAGCAAGATCCTTGGAGATGCCATAGAGTTGTCCTGTGGCATGCCTGAAATACTTATTTCCTTCCTCACCAAATTTCCAGTATTCTGGCTCATGATATTTCACCCCTCTACCAAATATATATATATATATATAATCAAAATCAAAATATATCAAAACTTCTCTTTCTAGAAATTATTAAAAATTTCTTATTTTATAATCTAAATTATACCAAAATATAAAACAAAAACTATTATGGACTACGAGCTAAAATGAGATTTTGAATATGGCAGGAGGAATGCACTACATTTTTTCAATTGTTAATAGCAAAAAGAAGAAGAAGAACATTACTTTTGAGAAAGAACTGGCCCTGATTTCATGCATCCAATATAAACACGAGGTTTTGATCGATGCCTTGCCAACGTATTCACTAACGTACCTATAAAACAACATTAATATTAGTGTAAATTCAACTATATATAATTATAATTGTGAAATGACTTATATACATAATTTTATCTCACAAAATAGTAATTAAAGTATAATTCAACGTGATGAAATAGGAGATTAAGGGGAAAAAATTTTTGTTTTACCTATGTTGAGATGAACATCGTCGTCCACCTTAATATAGAAATCCGCATCCCACAAGGCGACCGCAGTGGAGAAATACACTCGAGTCTTGGTGGAGAGTTCGTGGTAACCTTCGACGTGTTTGAGGCGGAGGAAGTCCTTGTGCTCCGCCTCCTCCTTGTCAAGCAACTTGTCAAGAACGCCGCCTGGGGTGGCACTGTGCCCTATCACGAACCGTACCACGATCCCTTTCTCCTCCAATTTCTTCAGTTTAGCTCCTCTAGGCATCCAGGTTTCCCGGAGCGAGTCCCGCCTTTTCCTGCTGCTGAAAGCCGTGTTGATTCCGATGACCACGAAGGCTTTTTGTAAGCTGTGGTTGGAAGCTTTTTCCGGTGAGAGTTGGCCGCGGGTACGAGCTACTGCCAGTTCCATTTCTAAGTTCGAAACTGTTCTTTCAAGAGATCTGAGAAAGGAGGAAAAAAATTTAACTTTTTTTTATTTTTATTAATGGTATCTAAAATCACATTAAATCTTAATTAAATTAGAATCGAAATATGTGAGAAAACTCTCTCAATCTCTATTTATTTATTTACAACACTTTAACTCGAGAATAAATTATTGGTAAAAAAATAACTTTTATTTAAAAAAAAAAAAGGCTTACTGTATAGCTTGGTGAGTTCTCGTTACTTCTCCCATGATATCTTCTGATTTTCCTTCAACCAATTTCTATATATAAATTGAGAAGGAATTATTACGTATTTAATTTTGATCTAAATCAAGAAAAGAAAAAGAAAAAACTGAGTTAATGATTTTCGGAACATACACGTTTCCGGTTACAGTCAGGTGTTATTTCTCCTGCTAACCTAGTGACATCGGTCGGAAGGATGGTCATGGTCGGAGAGGGACCACCGTGAGTCCACGTGTGACCTGTGAACAGAGATCCTGCAAGGAAGCTAGCAAGACAGAGTACAAGGATCATTTTGCCGGAGACCGGTTTCCCCCGCATTTTCTTGGACTGGTTATCGGATGCCCCCGGCAGCCACTCGGTGGGGATCAGAGGCTGCAAACCGGAAATCAGCCTCTTTACGTGCATCTGAGTCTAGTGTTTGAGAAAATAAAGAAATTCTTCACGAAGCCAGAAAAGATGAATAAATATATATAAATTTTCTTTTTTGTTCAAAGGTACGTAATAATAAAGGCAAAATGTTGTTATTTATATCCATCACAAGCCAAAATTTTAAAAAAAAAAAAGAAAAAAAGAAAAGGAAATTGTTGCTTGGAATGATGTCTAGAGAAAGTAGGAGAGATTGAAGAAAAGGAAAAAGTGTCATTTTTGTCAAATGGTTTAAAATGTTGATTCAATTTGTTTCAAAAATACTGTTAAATGTTAGCTATCAATTACCATATTGAAACCCAACAACAACCCAAAAAATTAATTTCACTGCAGCCAGATCCAGTATTCTGCTTCCTTTTACATTATTGATTTGTTATAAATAACATCATATCTTTCTATAAAACAGCCAATAATTTATAAAGTTGTGTCCAACAGGACATGTGAAGGGCAAATTAATTTTGCAAAACTGCAAATTTGCAATTCTAATTCTAAGGCGAAAAAATAAAGAAAAATCCTTACACCTAGCTAGAGAGAGGAATATAATCCCTTAATTATTAGAAGGAAAATTAAACAGATTGACTCTCCAAATCAATAAAACGTATGCATGCAATTCCAGTGCTAATAAGTGACACTAATTTAGTATAATTTGGAAGGGAAGAGTAAAGGAGGAGAAGGAAAATATACCTTTAGAGAGGCATTTTGTCAAGTGGAAATTTTTGGGGAGGGTTTTCTTTGTTTTTAATTAGATATATTTAGATGGGGAGTGGTTTTGTGTTGCTAACGGGAAGCGTTGGTGGTTCAATCATGTCTTTTTCATGGCTCAACAAAATTAAACAAAAGTTTCTGTCCATCTTCATAGGTGCTTCTTCCGTGTGTTCTCAGTTTTTTTTTTTTTCCTAAAATGTGTGTGATGGGAAAAAGAGAAGGGAGAGGGAATTAATTGGGTGTACTTAATTAAACATCACATGTTAGCATTTTAGACTAATATTCTTGTAGGTTTGACTAGAGCATAAAACTAAACTTTTTTTTTTTTCTTTAAAGAAAATTATAACCGTGTTCTTAAGATAGGTTGAGTCTCATCATTAATTACATTATTTATAATTAATTTTACATAATATTTCATATAAAATTTAAATAAAATATAATATAATATTTATACTTAAAATCTGTAAAAAAAATATAAATTCGATGTAAAAATTTATATAAAATTAATTAAAAATATCTTAATTAATAAATTTTAAGTTGTACCATTAAAATATGGCTCAGACAAATCATTTTCAAAATTTTCTTTAAGATGCCTAATTTTGAGGCTAGATGTTGGAGAACTCTCTAACCATGCACATATGGTTATAGGTCGACCGATCTTGTAATTTGCATTACGGAGGGTATAGTCCTTTTATTTTTGCTTAATGTTTATGTCCTATTAATATTCAAAATTTAGGGTCATCATGCTCAAATGGATTAAATTTGTAAAATCAGTCGCTAATAACTTAGGTAAAACTTATAGCCTATAGGTATGAGAATTTGAACAAATATATTATTCAAATTGTTATATTGGACTTCTCTAATTAACTAAGACACTTGTTATTCATGTGATAGATGGAGTGACAACACTCTATTTTATAAATAAAAATACCATTGGAGGGTATTGTATTCGACCTTTTAATTTAACTTCTCCTCCCACATTCCTTTGTTAAAAATATGTAATAATTGTAATGGATAGTTACCTTGTTAAAAAAATAATAATAATAACAAGGACATTTAACAGTTCATTTTAAGTAAACAGGCAGTAGATAGCACACGCAAATCATGTATATTAGCTTAGAGGTTAATGTAAGTTGTTCTCTCAAAAATTTTTTAAAAATTTGTTTATAAACTCATTTTATAATTAATATTTTTAAAATTTAATTGTTAAATTAAATATTAAATTCATGTAAATCATGTATATTAAATTTTAAATTAATCTAACATTTATAATTTTTTGATAAAAAATTTTATTTATTGACTATATATAATGATGTTAAATTTTGTTTAAATAATGAACTAGTTAAACCTATTAAATCAAATATAAAAAATAATATTTATGATCTATATTATACACAAAATTTTAAATTAAGCTATTGGTTTTAAAAATATTAATTAAAATATGGTATTTTTTCCATATGTCTTGTATAAAGGATGGTATCTAACAAAACATTTTTTCCTATTAACACGTTGCTTTTAGATAGAGTTATTATTAAAATTGGATATAGTCATGAATTACTCTTTTTGTTTTAAAATAACTGTTTTTTATTATTTTTTTAATTAAAGATTTAAAAATAATATTTATATTTATCTATAATATTTATTATAAAAATAAAAAAAATAAAGAAAGATCTTTTTTATTAAATATTTAATTAAAGTGAATAAATATTTATAAAGTTAAAATAAAAAATATTTATTTATTTAAAAAAATAAAAAAATTATAATTAATTTAAAATAAGTTCAAAATAATAGAACGATAATTATTATTTTAGAATGGAAGGTGTAGACTTTTACTATTTTTATGCAGAAATTATTACTGGGTTCATAAAAGATAAAATAATATAGTTGCGTTGAAACAAAAATGATTCTCTTATTGACAACGATGTAAATGGTTTAGTGTGGTTTAGTGAATTTTTTATTTTTTATTTTGCCTAAAATGTGGGTGATGAGAAAACAAGAAGGGGTAGGGAATTAATTGGGTGTACTTAAATAAACATCACATGTTAACATTTTAGACTAATATTCTCGTAGGTTTGATTAGAGCATAAAGCTAAACTTTCTTCTTCTTTTTTTTTTTTAAAGGAATCTTTTAATTTATACTCTTGGAGATAGGTTGAGTCTTATTAATTATATTTTTTATAATTAATTT